TTGATATGTTATAATGTCATTCCCTCATCAAAAACGTACCCACAGTGTTGCTTTGACTCATTCATGAATGTTTGAGAAATCCTTGAATCTCCTGTTGTAGCCACGTGGAGCTGCCTAAACACTTCCTGGTACAAAACACGGCCTATTTACCCAAAGCTCCTCCCGGGAGCTCAGTCTGCAGCCAAGCTCCCGCCCCACAGAGCAACTCTTCCCTGAAGCATTGTTGTGAAGACGTGCTGAAGTGGAAGTGTCAGAAACAGTAGGAGGTTCTTAAAAAGACGGAGCTTTTAGATGCAAAATCAAATGTAGTTTTATACAAACAGCATTTTCATAACAACTGACAGTAACTTGATGCTATGTGCATGGAAAACATACAATACTTCTTTAACCTGTTAACCTTCGGGCATAAAATACCATAAAACGCCTTAAAAAGTTGACACAAATTAAATGAAGTACTGCTTTTGAACCCTTTAGAGTAAATTTACAAGCTTGGTCTCTTTTTAAAGCTAATAATCTGAATTTTTAACTTCAGCAGTCATATTCGTTGTAACTATAACCAACTGTAACTAATATTGAAGTAAAATACACAAAAATCAAGATATTTTTCTCCCTAAATTTTCATTTTTTATTAAAACGTTGTGCAATCATGTAAGATGCTCAAGCCTTAACATGCAAATGCAAAGATCAATACATGATATATGATATATTAATTAAGCACATTTACAGGAMGCCATAATTGGAGCAAAGATGGATAGGGTGGGGGGTACCATTTAAAATGAAGTCAAAGAAGAAGTTGGTGTTTCTTTGAGTCCAAAAACAAAAACAAAACAAAACAAAAAAAATAATAACTTAACAGAAACCAGCTGAGTTTTCTCAATAAGAGTCATGGAATATTCAAACTATCACTTTAGCGACAACATACAGAGTTTGTCAGATGAATTATTAAATTTGAAGCAGCTTTGTTTTTGTTTTTTTCTTTCATTGCTTTGGAAGTGGAACAAAAAGTGTATTTCTAGTGGTAGAGAAGACTGCTTTGGTTTAGAAGAWTAAAGTTTAACAAGTTAAAAGTTATAATAATGATTCAGTTAAATTTTTTTAGACGTGTCTATTTTGTTGTCCCCCCCACTCCCCTCCATGGGACAATAGATCTGAGAGCAGGCTCAGGCGGAGCGGAGCAGCAACAGCGTGGGACAAACGAGCGGCTCTCTTTTCTTCCCTCCTTCTTTCCATCCTTTTTAGCCTTTGATGTTCTTTTTGGATTAATTTGCCTTCTGCTCACTCTTTCTCCATGTACCAACCGAAGCATGGAGGCGCTGCCTTTTTTCCTCTGCCAGCTCATCTTTGTGTACATCTGTGATGTTTTGTTTTTGTTTACCACACACACACACACACACACACACACACACTTCATAGGTGCATTCAGCCATTACTGTTTCATCACACAAGGTGAGCATTTTAACACAGGTGCAAAAGAAAACTTCAAATTTAAGTGTTTATTGTTAGTTTTTAGGCTGGTTGTTAGTTTGACTCCATCTTATCTCCAGGATGGAACAGGCGTGTCCAATCCTGGTCTGTTTTCAGASGGTTCTCTGATCTACACACATGATTTGAATAAATGAATGATTAACAGGMTTCAGGTGTGCTGGAGCAGAGAAACAAATAAAACTTGCAGGGTAGCAGTCCTTCAGGATCATGACCGAACCCCCCTGATCTAAAACACAGAGGTCAAACATTCAGTCGCCTTTAGATGTTAGAAGATCTGAACCTAACAGTCGGGGTGAGTGCTTCAGCAGCTGCTGCTCTGATTTTATGCAGTCCTTTAAGGTTTCACACAAGGACCGCTCAGACCTTTAGAGAACTCCAAGATGCTTTTTAAAACCCGTCTTTACTCACTGGATGCCAAGAAGAGCTTGGTTACTTGATGTTTTATTTTAACTTTTATAGTATTAAAGGAAATTATTTTATTACTTTTGTCTTCATTTATATTTTTGAATTTTTCATTATTATTGATATTATATGCTGTGTAGTCTTTTTTGCTTTGGTGCTTGTCTTTGTGCTTTTATCAATAAATTAACATTTGGCCAATTTTCTGTTAATGTGATTTTTTTTAGTTGAGATACTGGAAGTTGCCTTTACATTATTATTATTATTATTATTATTATTATTANTATATATACACTGTATATATGTGCGTGGAATGGATACCGGCTCACCAAAGAGGATCTCTACTTTACACAATAAATTAAAGGGAAACTGACAGATTTATGATCATTTCTTTTAGCTAATAATGAAATATTAAATGGTTATTCATTCTGACCATATCATACTGAATTTTTGTAAAAAAAAAATTTTAATTAAATAAAAAAAATTTTACACCAAAATAATTTGGGGGGCTTTAAAGTATTTTAGGGGGGCTCCAGCCCCCCTAAAATAGGCCTAGTGACGCCACTGCATGAATCACAAGTTAAAAGTTCTGTTTCTCAAAAAGTTTAAGACGAGTCACTTACCAAACTATCTTCTCATCGTAGATGAACTGAAAAACAGAATTTGTTTCAGAATGATGGGAACAAAAAAATATATTTAAAACTGGTGATGAATGTGAACTCACTGCAATCAGAGCCACGACAGACAGGATGTAGTAGAACGAGTCCCTGAAAACAGCCCACCAGGTCAGCAGGACCACCTGAGAATTTACAGCAAGTTTTTTTTACCTCAACTAACGTTTAGAGAACATGAATGTGATTTCTTTTTACTGTATTTTATAGAGTATTTTAACTGTGTGGTGTCCTTGAGTGCCATGAAAGGCACCTTCAAAAAAAAGTATCATTATTTTTAATTTATTTATTATTATAGGCAAATAGCTTCTGACAGCATCTGAACTTTAAGTTATGATATTTCTGATGCGTTTAATTTATTTATTATTATCTCCACATCTCAGCTGGAATAACTATCCACTTTGATGTGTAAAACAAAAAGTTTGTAAACAGCAGCCTTTTTAAGCAGATAAGTGCTAAATTTCGGACTTCTAAATGTTCATTTTGGATATGTATGTGTCTAAAAAGCAAGGAAATGGTGTTGGATTGAAATGACTAGAAAGTCCAAACCTTTCTTCCTTGTGGTCTATTAAAAATTTAGTTTAAAAAGAGGCTTGAATCCAAATGTGGTTGGAACTATTAAACTCCTTTAGGCCCTGTCACACTAGACAACTTATGCCAACTGATGAACATTTTAAAGACATCTACATTGAAGATGGAATTGAAAAAATCAACAGGAAACTTCATTTTGGCGTGTACATAATGTAATTCGAACAAACTGATCACATATATAACCGTTATTAGAAATTTAGACATAAAAAATGCTTCAGAAGTTGACATAAGTTGTGTGACAGGGTCTTGAGTAGTGTAAATTTATGTATTTTAGAATAAAGGAGTAAACATGACTGCAGAATGATCTATTGTATCATCTGCAAGTGATTTATTGCAGTTTGCAACAGCTGATGTACAYCTGGCTGGTAAACCAAATTAAAGAGAGTTAGAGAGAGAAAAATCACAATGAGAACAGCCACAACAACAACAACAACACACACACACTCACACAGGTATTGTGTTCAGTTATGAAACCATCTCCTCCCATTGTCTCAGGGAGAAAACAATTGAAATGTAGGTCAGTGGGGTACGCAGCCAGAAGAGGCTCCCAACACTTCAGCACAGACAACTGAAGCTGCTCACAATGGTCAAACGTCTGCTCCGGCCTGGAACCCCTCATTGTTGTTAATTACATCTCATCTGACCTCTTCAGTCACATCAACTGCCTTCAGACGCACAAACTATTCAGTAATAAACAATTTAAATAAAGAAAAGATAATTATGGCAAAAAAATGATGGTTAATTTATCCTAATAAGAAAAAAAGAACACTTAAATGCCATCGTTGAGCCATTGCCAGCACAATGGTTTTATTTTCATCCTGAATTTAATAAGATAACAGAGCTTCTCATGCTGCTCACTAGATGCAGCTARAGGTTTGATTTAACTCATTTGATTTAAACCAGTGGATCTACASAMWTMTMRWCAKKASAYA